CTGGGACCAGGCAGCCCTGTGTGCCCAGATTTCTTCTGGCTCTCAGGAGCTAGGAGCAATGTCCCCCTCCTCAGCAAAGCTTCCCTGTGGAGGGGAAGGGAGGGCTGCTCTAGCACCCATAGGCTTCTGACCTGAGCCACTGCAGGCATATGCCGAACATCTATCCACTTGTAAAATCAGTTCAGCCAAGCCAGGTTAGACTAACCTGCAAAGACTGAATTAATTCAAGCTCGGGCTTTTTGAATATCTGTCCCTAACTTAGTCTAGATCTCAGAAAAACTGGCCACAAAGAAGGGGAGATGAAGAGGGAGGCAGAAGTCAGCTATGGGACCCTCATCCAGCATGCTCATGGGCAGGGTTTGAGCCTGGAGGACTGGGGAGAGCCAAGCTTTCAACATGCTTCTCAAGCAAGGAGGGGAGGGAGAGCAGGGGGGACACAGGGGGAGTGAAAAATGAGTGGTAACCATGGGAACATGTCTGTCCCTGGACACTCAGTGTAAAAAGCTGGTTCACAAACCTAGCCAGGAAGGGGACAGAGACAGGACAAAAGGGCTCCAGGAATTCAGAAAATTGTCAGGAAGCAACTGTACAACACCCACCTCCCACACAGAGATAAGAGGAACAGGCCAAACCAGTCTGGCTAGCTCAGGAACCTGCTACCCACCCCCCAAAGAAGCCTCCCCAAACCCACTTCTTCCCAGTGAACTGGGGTGACAAGGAGCACAGTTGACAGCCCATAGGTTGCAAGCGAGTCCATTGCGCTCAAGTTGCAGATTCCCAAAAAACTTTGAATTGCTGCAAGGACAGAAGAAAGCACCCCTTCCCACAAACTCTCCCCAGACCCTAAATCCACCCTCCAGGACTTGCCCCAGCTCCCAGTGCAAGGGGACAACTGCCACAGGGCAGCAGCAGTTAGATACTTGTATCAGACCCCATGGCCATGTCCCCGCCAGGACAGTGATTCAGCCAATAAGCCCCCAAGAGCCCCAATTCAGGGCAGTGCTTGGGTACATTGGTACCAGATTTAATACCTAGAAACGACAGTTCCTGGCAGAGCCAGCAGGTGGTGTAATATATGCATTGTGTAATGTAATGCATTGTGTGCACTGAAAATGTGATACGAGTGTAACAGACAGGGAGCAACCATGTGGAGGCTTTCTGACCGACCATGGACTACAAACCCAACACCTGGAAGCAAGAAGAGGAAGTGATGAGAAACCCTGCAGAGCCCTGCTGCTGGACTGCAAATCCCAGAAAACCTTGGGGGCAGCAGGAAGAGGTAGCAACCTCTGAGCCCTGGCTGGCTAGGTCAGAAGCCCTGGGGGCGATGGTGCTGCTGTGAGCTGGACTAAAGGACAGGAGCCTCTGCACAGCACAGATTAGGGCAGGCAATTATTTCAGGCAGAGGATCACTTACTGAGTTTTGGCAAGCCATCGAGGGCCACATGACAGGTACCCAGGGGCAAATAAATATTAATTTTCTAAGTTTTTTAGGGGCCCCGAAGCCTGGATAGAATGGCCTAGCAGGCCACATCCAGCCCGCAGGCCGCATTTTGCCTGCTCCTAGCACAGATGAACCACAGACCGAATGCACATGAACCCCAACCTACAGACCTGCACAGAGTGACCCTGGACTAAAGGCTGTTTTTTGGGAACAGCTCTGGAGGTGGGCAGGGGACCCCATGTGCTGAATGCATGTACCCCAGTGGTACTGACCACTACCTGTTTACTTGCCCTCTAAGTGTATGTTGTTGTACTGTGAATGCCTATTTACCTGTATTTGTCCTTTCACATTCACCTGTGACCTTAACCCCTAAGATACTCAATATAAAGTAAATCCCTCATTGGTTGTAGTGATTGTGCCTGACACTGCAGGGGTTTGTTGCAACTGAGCCCCCAAAAGCCCAAAATCCAGGGTAGCGATTGGGTAGATTGGTACCAGATTTAATATCTAGAAACAACAGTTCCTGGCAGAGGCAGCAGGAGGTATCAGAAACTGAGAAGCAGGTTGTTTCCTTGAAACCACAGTTACTGGCTCCTGTTTCCAAGAAGTGGTGGCTAACCTGGGATAACACGAGGCTGTAACTCCCTAGTCTGGCTTCCTAGAAGCAGGTCTAGTGAGTGTTCAGACTGCAGGAAGAAGGGGTTTCTCTGCCACTGGAATTCCTGAAATTAATCTGTTTTCTTCTCCAGCAAAAAAAAATCAGAACTTTTCTCTGTAGAAACTAAAACTTTGGTGCTTGGATCATGGAGGGGGCCAAACATGAGGGGATCTCCTGTGGTAGAGGGTACGCAACTGGACAAGTGATGGAGCTGGGACTGTCCAAGGCAGGGAGAAGTTTGGCCTGGGCCAGGATCCATGACTTGCTACTGGATCCCATCTCCATGGCAACATTGATCTGGCTCCTCCAGGCCAGCTTTGAGCTTCACACCTGAGTGGCTGGCCGGGCCTGGGGTGCAGATAGGAAATCAGCCACATCATCGGAGTCTCCGGCAGGGCCAGTAGCTTCTTCTGGGATCAAGAGGCTGAGACCTTGAGAAACCAATCCAATTGGATACCAATTAATGAACAGGGAAGAGCCAGATGGCCAACTGCACAGCGGGGAAACGTCTGTGGGACGTGTCTGGCCCCATGGCTCTTCCCTGCACCAAGCTTTGAACCAGCAAATTTCAATGCTAGAAGTCACTTGGGCTACTGGAGGAGCTTCTCCAGGTAGCCACAACAGTAAACTTTTATCCTCTTGGCAAAATGAGCCAGCACAAAGCACCACATTGCCTTCTCTCCCCGTGGACTATGCCCATATAACAATATCCAGCCTATCCAGTGCATTCTGGGAAGTGTCATGCCTTATCCAGTGACAGGATGCAGAAAGGCACCAGCAATGGAGCATATCCCCCACCCCACCATGGGTGAACGAGTTGATCACAAGGCATTCTGGGTATTTCCCACAGCTCCCTGGGACAAGCAGGATGCCTAGAGTGAGCAACACCAGCAAGGCATTCTGAGGGTGCAGACACACACAGCAATTGAACCATTCCAGGAATATCACTGATTGGGACCCAGTTCACTCTTACGATTCAGAAGCATCTGTATATACACCGCCAAAGCTTGTAAGTCACATTTCAGGCACCGCAGTGCTGCTGAGTCACCACAAGGGGGTGGGAGTGAGGCACTGCCTTCAGTAGCAAGTGCTGGGTTTCTCCAGGATTTCCCTAGCAGGGGTGAATCATAGAGAAAGTAGGTCTGGAAGGGACCTCAGCAAATCATCTACTACCAATCTGTGGTACAGGTACCACCAGCGGTACACAGACAACCTGTCAGTGGAACACATTAACAGACTTATTATAATTACTTTATATGACAAAAATCTGCTGGTGGTACTTAAGGTTAAACTGAAAAATTAGCTGATGGGACTTGAGGTTGTATCGTTTTCAGTTGGTGGTGCACAATCTGTCAGAGTTTGGGAACTGCTCTAGTTTAACTCCCTTCCTGAGGCAGGATCCCCATCCAAACCATCCTATACAACTCTTTGTCTAACCTATTCCTAAAACCATAAAAGTAATCCTATCAGTTTATCACACAACTACAAGGCATGGCACCCTAACTTGCCACAGATAAAAGCAATGGTGGTCAGTGTGCTGCTGCTTCAAGGGTCACCCAGAGATCCTAGGAAGAGGGCCACGGCCCCTGCCACAGAAGACAAAATCCCCCACGGTCCACACCAATCTAATTGTGGGGTAAAATTCCTCCTTGACCCCAAATGTGGTTATCAGCCCAACACTGAGCAGAGGGGCAGGACCCTCTAGCTAGGAATCTCTGGGTTTTAGCCCCAGCTGGAGCACTGGCACACACCAGCCAGCCAAAAAACCTCAGCCTTGGCAGCCAACAACCAACGAATGCTTCTGAAGAATGCAGAAAAAAACCCTGATGTATGTAGCAATGGGAGGGGGGAAAATTCCTGGCTCCATGTGGCAACCAGCAAAGCCCAGAAGCATGGGAAATACCTAGCAGAGCACAGGCATGACTACTCCTAAATCCTTCCTGGCCAATGCTTATCCAGCCTTTTCTTGAACACTTCCAATGATGGAGCACCCCCAACTTCCCTATGCAGTCTATTCTGCTGTCCTGCTGTTCTAATTTAAGAAGTTTTTCATTATATCCAATCTAAACTTCAAACCCTTGGTCTGAGTCCTGCCAGGATGGGGTGGAGGGCTGCCTGGACGGACCCCTGCTTCTGCATTCCTGAGGGGTGGTTACTCCAGGGGCTGCCCAAAGCCTCTGACATAAGCTAAAGCTTTAAAAAGACTTTTCCTAGAAAGCCACTTACTTAATTTCAATTTGCCCCTTACAAACACACTCCGAGAGGCTGGTTGGTGGACAGGAGGGTGGATGCACCTTTAAGGGTAAGCAACTGTTAACTGCTGAGTGAGGGAATCCTGAGCCACTCCACAATAGGTACTTAATACCATAGAATGGCTGTCAATCCCATGCTCAGTCAATGTAAACTGGTCCATTAAATATTCATTTTTCTTCACCCAAAAGCAGCAGGGGCACCCTCCCCACCCATCTGAGCATTACCAGAGCAACCAGCTGCAGGGGGTGTGAAAAGAGGGGAGAAATGACTGAGGAGGCATGTACTGTGGGATGCCTGAAGCACTGATCAAACACTGGTCACAAAAGCTTGGTGTCCACAGATTCAGTGTGTTCATAGAGAACCAGTTCAAAATAAAACTAAATTATCCAGGTTTACTTTTGAGACACTCCAGATTTAAACAGTTCTAAACTGGTTTGTATATCCGAACAGTTATAAAGTGCATTTGAAATGGTCTGAGTGTTATGTGTGTCTGCACCCAGAGAGACACCCACTGAGCAGTCAGGAAGGATAAGGGGCTGGGAAAACTTCCAGAGCTCAGGTTGTGTCTGCTCCTTGCCACAGTTGCTGGCCATGGACCATGTTCAGAGCCACTGACTGTACCAAGACCTTTAGTCTGAGCTTATTCCAATAGGCACAGCAGCACCACCAGTCACTGGAGAACCAATAATACTCAGCTAGGAGAAACCCATTACACCTTATCCCATTTAAAGGACCAGCCATCCTCTCCCAGGTACATCCCATGCTACAAACCTGTGGGGCTGCTGTCAGCAACGGGCAGCAGCAGCGTCTGGACTCCATACCCTTGGATCCTCACCACGTCTGGCATCTCTGCCAGCCTCTGTTTGGCCGAGGCCACAAGACCCAGGGGCAGTGAGTGCTGGTAGGTGGTGCTGTAGGCCTGCTTGAAATGGAAGAGAGACATGCCCTGGGGGTGCTGGGCCAGGATGCCTGCCACATTCTGCTTCAGCTCTGCAAGATCCCTCTGGTTGCAGGCAGGTCTTAAGTCCTTGCTTGCCTGCAGGCATGGAGCAATGCCAGCTGGCTGGGATGGGCTCCTGATCCAAGCTGGCAGATGTGGATTGACTGGGGGACACTCACTCAGCATGCTGTGCACAGCAAAGACACCAGGGGGCTTCCAGACTGTGGGCTGGCTGGGAGGCAGGGGCTTTGTGGTGGTACCACTGGGCAGCAGAGGACTGAGCCAGCCATTGGCAGGAGGGGCTGGGGAAGCAGCCTTTAGCAGGTCCCTCCTGGGACCAGGCAAAGACTGGGAACTAGCAGGGGGCAACCGTCCAGAATCTCCACGAACCCCTGCAGGAAAGATGGGAAAATGCTGTCAGGGCAGAGCACACCATAAAGGAACCGAAACCATTGTGGAGACCAGGGGATGCAGCTGACCAGGCATCTCTCAGCATGCATCGCAGCAGACTTTTCCCACAATGCACTGGGGTAAATGAGGGTTTCAATCCAGGGCTGTACCTTATAGTTTGGGATTTCAGACCTCCAGAAATTCAGGTCTGCTACAGGCCACGACTAGAGGGCAGGAGAGTGGTGATGACATGGGTTGAAGCCCTAAAGGCAAACACCACAGGGCCTGGAAAGGGAGCCAGTGAATGGCACAGCAGTCAGGGAAAGCAATCAAGATACTTTGTTTCTCTCCTGCATCCAAGAAGGGAGTGGGGTTTCCTAGTTTAGATCAGGGGAGCTGGGATCCAGAATTCGTGTTTTCTCCTCATTTGGAGACAGCTCTCATGGCCAATCACTCCTCACCCCCTGCATACCTGTCCCAACACACTTCTTCTTCTTGGGGCACCAGTCCTTCAGCTCTGGCACATGGTCCCACAGGGACGGCAGCACACCCTTGCAGCCCTGGGTGTGCGCAACAGCATCCAAGTCCAGCCCATGGCTCTCCCGCAAGCGCTTCCGTGTCCTCTGTAGCCTAGGGCCACCCTTGTCAGGGTCACTGCCCCTCAAGGCCCAGATTGGTGCTGAGGATTTGCTGATCCCTGCAAAAGATGGACTGGAGTTCACCGTCCTGTGTGCCCTCCCAGCACTTGGGGTGGGGGATGGGGCCTTTCCTTTCTAAGGGGGCTAGACCCACTTCAGCCCCAAGACAGTGCACCAGGAGGCTCAGGGGGTATATGAGTTTTAGAGATGGGGACATGAGTGAGACACAGGTCCTCTTGGGTGCACTTCTCCTGCCCTCCACCCCCTCTGGCCGGATTCTGCCCCTTTTGGATCACAACACCCTAGAAGCTGGAGTTGGGAGCACGGCCAGGCTGTCCTTCTAACTACAAGGTGGGAGACCTGCAGGAGAGGACACCTGCCCTCTCCCACCATCTCAAGACTGAACTCCCCTCCCCCTCCATGCATCCTTTACTTCTGCATGGCACAGGGGCTGGCTCCAGGGGCAAACCTGCATTCTTGGCACGGGTTAACGTGACATCAGCTGACACCTGACAGCTGGCGCAGACAATGAAGGGAGCTGTGGACCCATGGGACACCTCTGAGGAGGTAGAGGGCTGCGAGCAGCTGTCTTCCGGACTGTGATTTTCTGCTAGCTTCTCCACAGCATCTAGAAAGGGAAATAACAGATCACTGCCCTGAACACCAATGTATAGGAAGCAGCTCCTCCCTTGGTCATGGGGGCAGAGGAAAGGACAGGGATGCTGTGCTGGATTGCAGGCTGCTGTCATGTTTTCCTGGTCTTTGACCTTTGGCCTCGTGGGACAGGTCCCATGTCCCTGACCCTCTGATCAACTTCACCTGCCTGAAAGACAGATGTTTCTAGTAGGTTAGAGAGGGAGGCAGAGCTGGGAGCCAAGATGCCTGGGGCAGGTTCTCATACTGGGATCCCCACCATCCTCTGCTTTCACACCTGGCCTCAGGTGGATTATGCTGTTCTCTCCTTGCTCAGGCCACCGGCACTCCAGCCCAGGCACGTGGTCCTGCAGGAAGGATAGCACATCTTCGTAGCCCTGGGAGCAGGCAAAAGCATCCAGGTCCAGTCCATGGCTCTCCTGCACAAGCTCCCGAACCCTCCACAGCCTCAGGACCCCCTTGCAGGAGCTGCTGCCCAGCAGGGCCCTGAGCAACACGGACACATTGCTGATACCTGCAAAAGACCAACCGAAGCTCACTGCCCTGTGCAGCTGCCCAGCACCCAGGGGCAGTGCTCAGGGAAGGAACCTGTCATGGCAAGGGAATGCCAGCCCTAATGCAGCCTGGTGGCAGGGCACTGGGCAGCTCAAAGGGTGTATGGGGAGGAGAGGAAACATGACTGGAATACAAGTCCCCTTGGATTCTGCCCCATTCAGATAACACCACCTCAGAAGCAGGAGGTGGGAGCAGAGCTGTATGAACTCAGTCCCTTCTCCACACAGGGTAGGTGACCAAAGGAAATAGCATCTGCCCTCAGCCACCACACCAAGACTGATTCCAAGCCCCATCCACCTGTGAATCCCTTACTGCTCCACAGCTTGCTGTCCAGCTCAAGGCCCTGGCCTGCACCTTTAGCATGAGAAAACATGACATCAATCAATCCCTGACAGGTGGAGCAAGCAGAGGAGAGAGCTGGGTCCTCACGGGATGCCCCAAGGGAGACAGAGGGCTGAGTGGAGGCATTTCCCGCAGCATGACCTGCCAGTTTGTCCATAGCACCTAGAGGGGAAAACAACAGGTTATTGCCTTGCCTTGAACGCCAGTGCATAGGGAACCGTCCCTCTGAAGAGAGCCCCATGGCCGGGGACAGGTGGGAGACACAGGGACACTAAGCTGAACCCCAGGCTAATGTCATGTCTCGCTATGCTCTGAATTTTGGCCTCTCAGGGCAGGTCACATGTTCCAGTTCCTCTGATCATGTCACATGCCTTGAATGCAGGTGTTTGAAATGTTTGAGAGTGGGAGAGAGAGAGGGTTGGGAGCCAGAACCCCTGGGTTTTCTCCCAGGTCAGGGGGAGGGGAAGATGGTCTAGAGGGTTTGAGCAGGTTGTTCTGGAATCCTCAGTGACTGGGTTCTAGCTTAGCACTGGGAGGGATATGGGTCTGGGGCGGGCCTGGGAGTCAGGACTCCATCACACCTCACCTGCCTTCAGTTGGACAAGGCATTGCTCCCTCCTGTTGAAGAGGAGAACAATCCCAGGCACCTGCAGCAGGAGCAGGTCCATGATACCCTCACAGCCCATATGCTGGACAAAGCCCTCCAGGGCCACCGACTTCTCCTTCCACAGCATCTTCTTCAGTGTTGTCACACACAGGCCACTGCTGTTAAGATGGAGACACTCCAGAATGGCTGCCATCACCTCCTCCCAGCCTGCAATAAGAAACTGGATCAACACTGAGGGGACATTCCTGAGAAAGGCACCAACACCTCAAAGGAGGGGTATCAGTGGTAGCAGGGCTGGAGGCACCTGTCATCTCATAAAGGAAGCAAGCCACGCTGAGAAAGAGGCCTGGACTACATGCACCAGTTCTATGGGCCCTTGGAGTGAGGGCACCCTAGCCAGCCCCCCCAATCTGTCCCCCACAGGCTTTTAGAAGCAAAGAATAGCTGAAGCATTGAATACCTCCTCCTACTTATGCTTCTCTAGCACCAGCTACCTGTCCCCCTTGGACCTAGAGTTTCAGTCCCAGCGCCTGCCCCAGATAATCTACCACATCCTTGCAGCCTCCAGCATCAGCCTCCTGCTGCAGGTTCGCACTATGTTTCCTCAGGAGCTGCTGAGGAAAGGCCCAGGATGCAATTCAAAAGGCTCCCCAAGGGGAACTCACCTTGCCACACAGAAATTACCCTACCCCCCCGCCCCCCAGTAGAATCCCCATCCCAAAACACTCCCCAAAATAGCAAGTAGTTGTGAGCTCTGGCTCCATGATAATGGAGGTGGGGAGAGCAGCCATGGGAAGGGCTGCCTGGATCACTAGGCTGAGCCCAGAATAATTCATGGGGCCCTGAACAGGTGGGGAGTGAATCTGTCCTGACTCAGGCCCAGGGGAATACAGATGGCTGTGGCTGATGAAGGCACTGCTGGCACTGGGGTCCAGGCTGAGCTCCATCCCTCCCCACAGCCACTCATGGCCTAAAAGAAATGTCATGCCGGGGTAGCATATCGCCTCACAAGGCATCTCCTTGACTGTCTTGGCAGTATCCGCTGGCCCCTTGGGTGCAGGATGAATGGGAGAGGCATTGGGCAGGGGGATGCTGCAGTGCTGGGCTGAAGTTGGAGCAGGAACAAGAGGGCAGATGTGTGCAGGGGACTTCCCCGAAGCATCTGAAAGGAGAAGGGAGAACAAATTCCTCAGGAGAAGGAAAAGAAGGACTGGTAACAGCAAGCACAAGCCAAGCTCCCCCTCCAGCACCACCTACCCTTTCGCCTCCTCCAACAGGCCCAGCCCCCTGCCAGCCTGCTCCCCACCACAGCTTCGGCCCATTGTGTGTCAATCTCCACTTCACTTCTCCAGGCATAAACCCAGACATCCAATAATTCAGGGGTGGGCACTTATTTTGGCCAGAGGGCCACTTAGAGAGTTTTAATGAGCTATCAAGCTGTTGTGGGCCAAATGAACACATTCACACATGGTGAATAAGTTAAGAGGCTGTGACTTGGACGATGGTGAACAAGTTAAGAGACTGTGACTTGCACGATTACACAGTCCGGTGGGTGGCGAATTGGCTAGAGGGTCGCACCCAGAGAGTCATAGTGGATGGGTCGGTTTTGACCTGGAAGGCAGTGGGGTCCCGCAGGGCTCGGTCCTTGGACCGATACTCTTCAATGTCTTCATCAGCGACTTGGACGAGGGAGTGAAGTGTACTCTGTCCAAGTTTGCAGATGACACAAAACTGTGGGGAGAAGTAGACACGCTGGAGGGCATGGAACAGCTACAAGCAGACCTGGACAGGTTGGACAAATGGGCAGAAAACAACAGAATGCAATTCTACAAGGAGAAATGCAAAGTGCTGCACATAGGGAGGAAAAATGTCCAGCATACCTACTGCCTAGGAAATGACCTGCTTGGTGACACGGAAGCGGAAAGGGATCTTGGAGTCCTAGTGGACTCCAAGATGAACATGAGTCGGCAGTGTGACGAAGCCATCAGAAAAGCCAATGGCACTTTATCGTGTATCAGCAGATGCATGACGAATAGATCCAAGGAGGTGATACTTCCCCTCTATCAAGCGCTGGTCGGACCGCAGTTGGAATACTGCGTGCAGTTTTGGGCGCCGCACTTCAAGAGGGATGTGGATAACCTGGAAAGGGTCCAGAGAAGGGCCACTCGTATGGTTAAGGGCTTGCAGGCCAAGCCCTATGAGGAGAGACTGGGGCACCTGGACCTCTTCAGCCTCCGCAAGAGAAGGTTGAGAGGCGACCTTGTGGCTGCCTATAAGTTCATCACGGGGGCACAGAAGGGAATTGGTGAGGTTTTATTCACCAAGGCACCCCCGGGTGTTACAAGAAATAATGGCCACAAGCTAGCAGAGAGCAGATTTAGATTGGACATTAGGAAGAACTTCTTCACAGTTCGAGTGGCCAAGGTCTGGAATGGGCTCCCAAGGGAGGTGGTGCTCTCCCCTACCCTGTGGGTCTTCAAGAGGAGGTTAGATAGGCATCTAGCTGGGGTCATCTAAACTCAGCACTATTTCCTGCCTATGCAGGGGGTTGGACTCGATGATCTATTGAGGTCCCTTCCGACCCTAACATCTATGAATCTATGAATCCCTTCTCTTCCCCTGCTTGCCCCACTAGCTCACCAAAACTCCCTAAGTGGCCCCTGTGCATGGCTCGGTGGCTGGGATGGGGCCTCAGGCAGGCAGGGAGAACCATCTGGGAGCAAGACAGATAGGTGGAGGCAGGGCCAGAGCTGGGATTGGGATCGTGGTACAGTGACAGCCCAGGGCTGAGGCTGGGGCAGAGCCACAATCCACTTCCTGCACACCCCTGCAACAGGAGCCAGTTCCACACACAGGGGCATTCAGGGAGTGGATCGCGGTTCTGCCCTGGGCCCCGGGCCAGTGCTGTCATGGCTCCACAGTCCCGAGGTCTCCATGGAGATCAGCTGGGACCCACATGGGCAGGGTGTGCTGCTGGGCAGATGGGATAGGGCCACAAGTGACTGGGGAATTGCATTCAAGAACGGGACCTTCAGGCAGGGCCAGAGGCAGGATCTTGGAGTGGTGACAGTATGGGGTGGGCTGGGCCAGGCCAAGCTGGAACCAGCACCTGTTGCAGGGGTATGCAGGGAGTGGACCACGCCTCTGCCCCCAGACCCATGCTTTCACTGCCCCAGGACCCTACTCCCAATCCCCAGACCTGCTTGCCTGTCCCACTCTCATCCACCTGCAGCCCCATCCCAGCTGCCCTCTATCCACACAGGTCTCACCCCCAGTGGTGTGTGCAGCATGGACAGGCCAGGGTGCCTGGACAGTGGTGCCAGATCCAGCAGCAACAGTCAGAAGGAGCCACCACTGGAGCTGCCTTTAAATGGAGTCCAGCTGCCACACTACCCCAGCCCTGCTGCGCACCCAGGCACAGCAGGACCAGCCACACGCACCACAGCCTGGGCTATCCCCTGCACCTGGGCTGGGCAGAGCCAAGGGATCCACTGCAGGCCAGACAAAATGCCTTGGTGGGTCAGATCTGGCCCACAAGATGTATTCTGCCCACCCCTGTCCTAACCCAAGGGCCAGGTCACTCCTGTGCCAACACTCACCACCTGACACAGGGCACAGGATCCCTTATGTCAACTTTCCCCGACCATATGCCCCCGTCTTACAAAACCACTGCCCCATCAACAGCCAGGGCCTGGTCATGCGGTCACCTACCCACAGCAAGTTGGACAACGCAATAATGGCCTTTCTTTAAGTCTCTCATCCTGAGACCAGGCAGCTGCTGCAGAAGGCCCAACACATCGTCATAACCCCAGGCCTGGCTCAGCCCCTGCAGGTTCTGCCTATGCTGCCTCGGCATGGCTTCCATCAGCTTGGACACCCTCAGGCCCATAGGGAAGCGGCCCAGCACACCTAAGATACAGGCCCAGATCTGGTCCAAACCTGCAACAAGGAATTATGAGAGATTACAGATGTCCTAATCTACACCCCGTAAGAGCCCTCAGCAGCTCAACCTTCCCCCACTAGGGCCCCAGGCACAGAAATTACCCACTCTTGCCTGAAGAACCTATTTTGACTTTTCTTCTACTCAAAATACAGTCACCCCCACCTCCCAAATGCACAGTAGATACAAGCCCAGGCTCCATGGCCCACTTACACTATGGTAATGGGAAAGGGTTCCAGCAATAAGGTGAGTTTCCCAAGTAGATAGGCTGTGGCCTGACAACTTTCACACGGGACACTGAATGGGCCAGGGAGGGAAATTAGGCTCCAAAACTCCATTTAGTACCAGTACGATCTGGCTGACCATGGCTGATGAGGATGTCATGCTGGGAACCAGGTGTAGCCCATGCGCCCCACCCCCCCAAGCCTATAGGAAGGTACAGGTCTTCCTGGGAGCAACCATGCGGAGAGGCAGCTCATCACCTCACCAGGTATCTGCCCTTCTGTCAGCCCTTCATGGGTTACACCAGGGGCTGCACACCTCAGAAACCGAACCAGTGGGGGCCACAGACACCATGCCATGAACACACACAGGTGGGCACCCCCCATCTTCCTGCGCTGGGCATGAGCAAGCAGGTGCAGGAATGGCTCCCCCATGGCACCAAGCTTCATGAGCACTCCAGGCTGCCGGCTTACCTGGCACCACAAACTGCTCCATGCCACCCTGTCACAACCCCTCATGGGGTCAGACAGTGGAAGCTGGAAGGAGGGGAAGCCCAAGATCCTGGTCGCTGCTGCCAGGGGCAGAGGTGAAAGCCCAAGGACCACATGTTAACCCTGGGTTAATAACCAGCAATTGGACAGGCCTGGCCTAGGACACTGCTGTATCCTCACATATAGCTCAGCCCCTGGTTTAGCCCTCGCTACCTCTGCAGAGCCTCCTTCAGCTTGGACACCCAGTAGGAAGCAGCCCAGGACACTCGAGATGCAGGCCCAAACCTTGCCCAAGCCTGCAGCAAGGGGTAGTGAGGAATTACAGATGCTCCATTTGGCCTCCATTACCGCCCTAAGGGCAGAGAACAGCCTCAGTGCTGGAGGCCCATTGTTGAGTAACATCCAGCACAAATGGCCCCATATTGGTGACTCTAGACCTGGGCCCAGCCTCTTCTTGTGAAGATAGGAGTCAGGGGAGAAGGAACTGGTGGCAGTCCTTGTGGGCTTCACAGGTAGCTTTGGGACAGCAGTGTGAACCTCAGCAGTTCCACCCTCCCCAAATAAATCCCTTCCCCTTGCCTAAAGTACTTACTTGGACCTCTTTTTTCTGCCCAGATCAGTCATCCCCACCTATATACAACTTTCCCTGACAAGAGCAGGGAGGGTTGTATATAGGCATCCAGCATGCATCTACGCTCTGTGGTCCCATTAGTTAGCAACAAAAAAGTGGTTATGAGGGGATGAAAAATCTCACAAGAAGCTGGGCAGAGACCTAACAAATCATTTCATATGGTACACTGATTAGGCAGGGGACAGGAAAGAAACTTTCAAGACTAGTTGACCAGGAGGGGCCCAGACACTCATCCAGCTAGGAACTGAGGCAAACATGCACCCCTGCTTTCATAGCCCAAGGGCTTGTGCAGAATGGTTATCCCAAGAGTAGCACATTGTCTCACCAACTGTCTGCTTCTCCGGCCTAGTAGTAGCCATTCGCTCTGCAGGTGCAGGCTCTGCGGGGGTGGTGTCCTGCTTCGGGCTGCTGTGGGGTGGAGCAAGAGAGGAGGCAGGATGCAGGGAGTGTGGCAAAGCAGAAGACTTCTCTTTCCTTTTTGTTTTGGGTGCTGTAGGGAACAAAAGCCTCAGAAAGATAAAAAGAACAACCACCTCTCCCCAAGCCCTGTACTGCAAACCCAGGTCCCACCAGTCTTCTTCCAACCATACAGCTTTGGCCCAGTTGTGACAAATCCCTCTTCACCTCTCCAGCAACAGGCCCAGCTCTACTATGGGTATTTCCCATGCTTCTGAACTTTGCCAGATGCAGCCCCCCCCCACCCCCCAACACACACACACACTCTCTCTCTCTCTCCGGCTGCTACACATAGGGGGATTTTTTTGCCTGCTTCAGAAGCAGAAGTCAAGGCTGAAGATTTTGACGGGGGTATGCCAGTCCTCCTGATGGGACTAAAACTCAAGAGATTCCTGGCTTGTGGGTCTTGCCCCTCTGATCAGGGTCTGACCAATTGTCATATTTAGGGTCAGAAAGGAATCTGACCCCTTGGTGCAACTGGTATGGACTGTGGGGATTTTTGTCTTCCTCTGTAGTAAGGGCTGTAACTCTCTGCCTGGGATCTCTTGAGTATATTTTAACAAACTTCACAGCAGAAGGACAATGGCGATCGTTATCCCCTTGCTTTATTATGGCAGGTTAGTGTTATGTCTTGTAGTTGCATCAGTTAACTGTGTAGTTTTGCTAATAGGTTAGATATGGATTTGTGTAAGATGGTTTGGACAGGGATGATCCTGCCTCAGGCAAGAGGGTGGCTTAAATGGCTGCTGGAGAGGTCTTCTAGCTCTCTTTTTCTATGACTCTGTGATCTATTCCCCCCCATGTTCCTTGGGGTAGAGACCAGCATGGCCAGCACCCACAGCAACAGGGCCTCAGTATCAGTGACCCTGGCCCTGGACCCAACTTCTCATTGTGAGGGAGGGACCTCCAGATGTACTGGGTGGAAGAGATTGTCCTGGCAGCTTCCCATAGTCACCCTCACATATATACATTCCTCTACATGCACAGGGCAGACATAAGCTCTGGCTCCACAGCCCCTTACATTGTCATAGGAGGGTTCTGGGATCTCATAAGTAGCTAGGCCAACAACTTTCACATAGGATACTGAATGAGCCACAGAGAAAAATTAGGCTTCAAGGCTCCATTTAGTCCCAACATTTTGTCCCCCCCAAAAAGAAAACAAACATGGAGCTACTGTTGCAAGACAAAAAGTGAAAAAATGTATAACATCCATTTTGTCCAAAAGCTTGTGTCAAAGAAGAGAAAAATAAGGAGCGACTGTCATCTTAAAAATATACTGGGGGAGTGGATGTGGTGGGGAAATAAAGTTGTGTTCAACAAGGCCACAGAAAAGATTTGCTTATGTCAAAAAACAGCAGGAAACATGGACTTGTGTTTGTCTGCAATACTAGGGAACTTGGCTCCATGAGCAGGGAGGGCCACACCAGTCTGCGCTCCCAGATGAGCCAAGGGAGAATACGCCCCAGTTGTTTTTACCACATAAGAAAAGAAAAAGAACCTCACATTTCTCAAAAGCTAAGGCAAAAAAGGCTGCTTTTGTGAAAAATCTCAAGAAATATAGAACTGCTTTCATCAAAAAAATACAGAGTGGCTGAAAAAAGAAAATGGAGTCACTTTTCTCAAGCGAGTGGTTAATTTTGTTTAAAGAAATGCAAAGCAAAGCATGAAATACCGGGTCACTTGTGTTGGTTTACACAAGAACAAGCAAGTTGCTTGGATCAGAGAAATGAGAAGTTGTTTTCATCTAAAATTATCACCAGAACTTTTCCATAGAAAATTCAAAATGTTCTGGGAAAAGTCAAAATATTTCATTCAAAAGTAGCATTGGGCCCCCATGGAAGTTGTAGTTTAGGGGAGAAGCACTCCCTGCCAGAGGAGGGGGATGCTGACCTGGCCCACGACAGCTCACCAAAACTCCCTATGTGGCCTGCGGGCCCAATTAATTGCCCACCCCTGTCATAGTGGGGTGCTCCATCCTACCCACAAAGGGTAGACTGGTTCAGCTCCAAAGTGTGGACACCCATCCCCTACTCTTCACCTTTCTTATGCTGGACAAGACACTTGATTCCTCTGTCCAGCCCCTGTAGCTTGACCCCAGAGATGCTGGCAAGATAATCCAAGGTATCCCGATATCCCCGCTTGTGGCTCAGCTCCTCCAGGTCCACCCCGTGTCTTGTCCACATGATCCTTCTCAGCCTAAAGACTGGCAGACCAGAGGGGTAGGAGCTCAGCAGACTGTAGAGGAGTGGTAAGAGTTTTTTAACATCTGATAGGACAAAGACACCATGTTAGATATGGGGAAGTGGCCATGCACAGCAAAAGCCAGAACACACACAGCCAGGCAACTGGGAGTACATGGGGAAACTTTTCCCAGCACACACTGGGACTCACACTGCTGGGTATGGATAGACCATGGGCAAGGTTTCCCTAGCCCACAACAGGGGATACACAGCTGAGCATGGACACGCCAAGGGCCAGGTTTTCCTAGCATGCACCAAGGCAAACAGCCGAGTTTTGGCAGGCTGATGTACTGCTGGACACAGGCAGCAGAGGACTCCTGCTCTTCAGAGAGGGTGTGGGGATGAGGTAGTGCCCCCAGGAATGGGGTCCGACTCACTCTTCTTAAAGGCATTGCTGAAGACCAGGCACTTCTCTCCCTTCTCTGGGTACCAGAGCCGGATGCCAGGGACTTCCAGCAGCAAGAAGGACACGACATCTTTGTGGCCCCTGGTGCAACTGAAGGCCTCCAGATTCACCCCCTGCTGCTTCATCAGTGCCTTCCCCAGCTGCCTCATCCTCATGCCCTTGGGGCAGTCATTCAGCATGGAAGTGATGAAAGCTAGGACCTTGTCAAAGTCTGGAGGAAGAGAAGAGGGGTGAGCAGGACAAAAGGGAGAAACCCTCCAGCCTCAGAAGACCCCCAACAGTCACAGTCACTAAGGTGTCACCTGCAGAGATACTAACAAGGTAGAGAAGGGGAAGGCACTACCTCTGTGTGTCCAGTGTTGGGGAAGGGAACCCCCCCAAAAAATAACTGATACAGGGCACAGATATAGCATTGGCCATGTTTACATGGCAAATTGAGGCAAACAACTGGGTGCCAGACAGGTCACGGGCTGTGGTATCTCAGTATGCACTAGGGCAGATACAGCTAGGCATGAACCCCATTGACCAGGGCAAGCAGGTAGGCAAACAGACAGGCCGCTGGCCAGGAGCCTGACCCACAATTCTCCAAGGTGGGGGACAGCAGTGGACAGAGTAAGTGGCAGAGAGGCACACAGGTAGTTGCTGAAGGTAATCCAGAGCCAGGCCCAGAGAGAAAAGGGGGAAGGTGAGAATGGGGCAGGGGAAGAGAAAGGAGTGGTACAAGAAAAAAGGGAAGAAAGAAAGGCCATAAAAAGTCTCTCATTGAGTAAAAACCTGAGACAAAAGAGGGAGTGGCAGAGCCCTTTCTGCTCCTGCCAGCAGGTGGCCAGGGAGCATCTACACACAGCCTAACAGGCTGGTCCCTAGCATGGGGAGCAATTAACTTGAATAGGGCGACAAGGTTCTTTGGGTAAATCTGAGCTCTTTTATTAGATCAACTGGAAAAAAATTTCTTAGCAAGCTTTTGGGTTTAAAAACCCTTCATCAGAGTGAGGAAGCTTTTTAAACCTGAAAGCTTGCTAAGAAAAAAAATTCCAACTATTTAGTTGGTCTAATTGAGTGATTCTCAAACTTTTTTTTTTTTTTTTTTGCAGACCACTTGAAAATTGCTGAGGGTTTAAGAAGCTTAAGAAGCTTTTTTTTGGGTTCTACAAATCAAAGCACACAACTCATATTTTGATATCAGTAGTCTTACCTTACAAACACCGATATTCTCGATTGTTCCACAACCTTTTTGCGGGCCACCTGATTGGAGCTCACAGACCATAATTTGAGAACCTCTGGTCTAATAAAATATATCAGATTCACCCAAAGAACTGTGTCTGCCTATGTCCTTAGACCAACACAGCTACAACATGCACCCTTGAATAGAGATTCATTTACAGAGCTCTGTCCTTAGTAAAGAGTGCCAATGCATTCTCTCACATACTTCGCAGGTACTTGAAGCGGGACAATGGACTGGTAGTCTGTAGCATCCCAGCACAAAAGGCTTTCATCCAGGAAATGCTCAGTCCGCTCACACTCACAGGAGAGAGAAAGAGAAGAGAAGAGGAGAACAACATCAAAGCCAGAAGCTGCTAAAGAAGAAGAGCGAAAAGACGGAGGAAGAAGAAAAATAAAAAGGAAAAAAAGAATGGAAGCCAAAAGAGTGACGTCAGCTGTTTGCCCAAGGCTTCAGCCAGCAGAGGGAGCTGGGAGCCAGGGCACCTGGGTTCTTCTCTCCCAGCTCTGGGAGGGCAGCAATGCCCAGTGGTGAGAGCGGGGGCGGGTGTCCCTACCTGTGTGCTCCTCGTTGTCCAAGGCGCTGGGGAGCGCATCGCTCTCCATGGGGGAAGCGGCCCTGCTCCCCGGCGGAGGGCCCTCGGCCTGGTCCAGGGGGGTGTCGATGACTAGCTTCTCAAGGACGAGGGGCCCCCGGGGGCGCAGCTCCACTAGGTCCACGGCGTCCCCAGCAGCGCCCGCAGCGAGTCGAGGCCGCAGCCGAGGGTTGCGCGGGGCGCAGGGTCGGCAGGAGCCCCCCAGGCGCACGGCGGGGAAGCAGAGAGAGGGGCCGGGCACTGGAGGAACCACCACCCGCTCCGAAGCAGTCGCCTGCAGCCGAAGCCCCCAGCCGGAGTCGGAGTCGGAGTCGGAGTCGGAGTCGGCGACGCGACGCGACGCGACGTACTCCCAGCAACCGACTCCAAACCTCAGCTCCCCGCGCTCTTAGCGAAGCTGCACGTGGATGTTTTCCGCGGCCCCGCCCAGCCGCGCGCACCATTGGGCAACTGGAAGGGGCGGGGCCCCGCCGAGCCCCGCCTCCTTGGCTGGAAACTCGGCAGCCTGGGCTGGTGTTTCAGCCAGGTGGGCTCCGGCGCGGAGGCTCTCGCCGCCTGAGCAGAGCCAGGCCAGGCGGGGAAACTAAGGCAGCCTCTGGGCCAAGGCCAAACAGGGCAGTGCACAGGCAGGACCCAGGAGTCCCGGGCAGTGTCAGCACCCCACAGAGACACGTGCTCAGCGTGAGCTCGGCCCCTGCGGGCTCGGAGGAGCCAAATCTCTCCCTCCCCCTACAAGAGCCAGCCGGACACTGATTAATTCTTAATGTCTTTAATCAAACACGGTTAAGCCCCAGATGGGAGCAGCAGAATCAAGTGCTGGGCTGGGGGGAGCCCAAGGGCTGCGGGGTGGGAGCCAGGAGTGCCATCAGGGCTGGGGATCAGGGGCAGCCAGTCTGGGGATGGGCCAGGCTGGGGTGCCCCCACCGTGGGCACTAGGTGCTGCCCTGACTCCGCAGGAACTCCCCAGGAGGGGACAGTGGCAAACCTGGCAATGCTTCCCTCCAGCCCGGGGCACACGGCACCCGCATGCCCTGACCCTTTCCAGCCCAGACAGTCTCTGGCACAGGAGCCACACAGGCCCAGCCTCCGTCCCCCATCTCTTCCCTTCAATTCCAGGAGCCCATTTTCCCCTGCCCTGCCCTGCCCTGCCCTGCCCCAGGTGGAGTCCAGCTCATCTGGTCTGTGCTCCAGGCCATCTTGGGATGGGATCCCTGTCTGGGAAACCCCAGGCCTTGGGCTGACTAGGGGCTGGGGGAGGCAGGAAGGGTGAGAGAGGGAGAGGGGATGGAGATGGGAGGGGGTGGAGGACAAGGCAGACTGAGGAAGAGGAGGGGAGGGTTGCTGAATGAGGGAGAGGCAGAAGAGGCACTTGGGAAGGGATTGCAGGGCAAATGGCAGAGGCAGTTCTGGGGGGTGCATCAGGGACTGCAACGAGGGGGAACAGTTCCCCCCAGTCCTGGTCCCTGTGCCTTAGCAGGGCTCCCCATCATCCTCTGGACCTGGGCCCCGGCTACGGCTCCCCACCAGGCCAGTGTAGGGGGCTGGAGGGTGCCCCTTGGGCCTTGTGGGGGCAGGAACAGTTGTGGGGGCAGGGCAGCGGTCCACCCCATCACTGACACTGTAGATGTACTTGTCCCACAGGAGATGCTCCAGGTCTAGGTCCAGGTCCAGGCCAGGGTCTAGGCCTGGGCATGGCCCCTGCTGGGCCCGGCGGTCACCCACGCGCCGGCGGTGCTGGAACTCCAGGATGGTCTTGGTGTAGGTGTTGAGGGTCAGCACTGAGGCCGACATGCACAGTGTAAAGGACAGCCAGGCTATGCTGTTGGGGGGAGGCAGGAGTTTGCATGGCACTTCCTGACCCCACAGGCACCCACACCACTCCCCACCAACTGTGGCTATGACCCAGCCAACTCATTGCACTGGGGGCATCCCAGCTGCTCTGGGGCTGCCCCATCTCCAATCCAGAGTCAGACAATGGCCCAAGATTAGAGATCAGGACTGGTGCTCCTTGAAGGGAAGAAACCCCTGTTCCATTCCCCATCTTTCCCCCAAATGAGCCAACCAGTGCCCCCACCCTGGGGCTAGCCTCCCCCCGTAGGGCATGGTGCTGGGTCACTCACCCAAAGGACCAGCCATAGTACCAGGTCTGGGGCCTCCAATCCTTGGGCCCCAGGTTGACGGCCACTTGAAAGACAGTCATGAACATCATGTGGGCCACCATGCCCAGCAGCCCTGGGAGGACAGAGCCCCAGGTATGGTCAGCTGGGGGGAATCAGGGGTGGGGGATTGATCCCCCCCAAACATACTCACTCGCGATGGGGCAGGGTCCTTAGGGAGGGGGATTGCAGCTGGCACTGTGGGGCTGGCATGGCCACTGGGGACCTGACTGCATGGCAATGCAGGCACTGGAAAGGGGTTTGGGTGACAGGGAGGGGCAGAGACAGGGTCTAGGGCAGTAGTTCCCAACCCTTTTTTGCTGTGACCCGCAGCTGGGAGCGGTGTGTGGCGGGTGAACTCCCAGCACGCGGTGCGGCTCGTCCTTTGTGTGGTGCTGCCAGCATTCCCCCCAAAACCCTCATTTGGGTAGTGACCCGAGGCTGGGAACCACTGGTGTAGCGGGTCTTGTGTTACCCAAGAGCACAGTGATAATGACAGCAAAGCAATCAGGGCTGAGAATCAGGGGGCACTGGCTGCAGCAGAGGGGAAAGTATCCAAGAGCACATTGGGAATCATTTAAAGGAAGGACGGTGGGGTGAAGAAGGGGCCAGGAGGTGCTGGGGGGTGGGGGGCAACAGGTGTTGGGCATGACAGAACAGTGATGATGGTGGTGAAGGCATGAGGGATGGGGCTGCAATGGGGACCTCTGCAGGGCCAGTACCTGAGATCATGGTGAGGACAGCAACAAAAGCATAGGGGTGGGGTTTTGGGAAGCAGCGCTGGCTCCAGGGGATGTGGGGATGCAGCAAGGGCTCCAGAGGATACAGAGGTGCAGTGGGGCCTCTGGGGGTGCAGCATAGGAGGTACCTGAGAGCACAGTGATGACAGCCGCGAAGGCATTGATCTTGAGCCCACTGAGGGCGCTGCCCCCTGGCAGAGCCTCAATACAAAGCAGCAGGAAGCCCACGCTGAGCAGCACAATGTGCAGGGCCTCTGAGGCCACTGACAGCCACAGCACCCCTGGGGGGAACAGGTACTTCCATGACTGTGGCCCTGCCCCCTGCTACTTTGCAGCAAGTGCACAGCACCTCAGCCAGACACACAAACCCACTCTCATCCCAATCCCACACGGGGCGGGGTGCCATGGAACCGGGGAGCTTTTAGCTAGGGGGGTTGTGGAGTGGGGGCTTGCCCTGCTGGTCACACCCCCCCACAGGCACAGGGGATTGTGGGGGGCTTCCCCTTGCTCCTCTGGAACAGCCAAGCTTTCCTGGCTTCATTGTTCTGCCCCATCTTTCCCTCTGATAGGGGCAAACAATTGGGTGGGGAAATTTGGCCCCCACCTAACCCCACCCCAGACTGTCTGTGCATCTGTCCATCCAGAGGGAGGGGCCTCACCTTTCTCAGACTCAGGGGGCACTTTTATGAAGCTGCGGCAGATCTCCTCTGGTGAAGGATTTGGCAGCAGAGAGGAAAGAGAGAGAAAAGCAGGGAGCATGAAATTTGGGGTGGTCAGACCCCAGGACCCTCCACAGGATGGGGTGGGATGGGACACTGGAGGCTACTTATTCAGCAACACTCACCACACAAACGGTGCCAAGCTGCAGCCACCTCTGGGGTGGAGTGCGTTGAGGGCTGGTTATTGAGGGATCCCCCTGCCCTCCCTGCCTAGCAGTGAGACGCAGCCACCTCTGGGGTAGGACATGTCAGGGGTTGGGGACTCTGTGCCTCCTGTCTGCCCTCAGTCCTGTGACCTGGCCCAGCTAATTGCCAGCCCCAGTGCCCAAAGAGGCACTCACCACCATGGTGCTCCTCACACGACCGCCAGAAGCCAGTGTGGAAGTAGCGGAAGGCGTACTTGTCCTCGCCCGTCTCCCAGATGTATTGCACCACGTTGGGGTCAGCACTGGCATTGGCAGGGCTCGTCTCGTTGGTGCTGACCACAGTACAGCTGCCCTTGCGCACGGCTGACAGGCAAGGTGGCTTCACTACCTTGTGTGTGCCCTCGCACCAGTAGCTGGTGGCGAAAGCCAGCACTGAGAAGCACAGTGCCAGCCCCGTGAGAGCCAGTGCCAGCAGCGAGCGTGCCCGTGGTTCCAGCCCCAGCATCCTGCTCCCCCAGCCAGGGCCACCCCCGTTCACTCCCTGCACCACAGCTCCACTCCAGTCTGTTCTTCCTTCCCTTTCTTCTCCTTTT